AAATTTTAGATCGAACTTGAAAATCACGAGTTGGGCTCGTGATGAAAATTTTAGACGTACTTGAAAATCACGAGTCTGATTCGTGATGAAATTTTTAGATCAAACTTGAAAATCACGAGTCTGACTCGTGATGAAATTTTTAGATCAAACTTGAAAATCACAAGTTGGACTCGCGATGAAATTTTTAGGCCAAATTTGAAAATCACGAATTGACTCGTGATGAAAATTTAAGACGAACTTGAAAATCACGAGTCTGACTCGTGATGAAATTTTTAGATCAAATTTGAAAATCACGAGTTGGGCTCGCGATGAAATTTTTTGGTCAAACTTGCAAATCACGAGTCAGACTCGTGATGAAAATTTTAAGCCAAAGTTGAAAATCCCGAGTCAGGCTCGTTGTGTATAGGAGTTAACACCCCTCGTTACCAGAAAAGCGATTACGCAGCTATTGTCAATCAACAGTTTTGTCCATTCGCGTGGTCTGTCAGTTCCTAGCGATCGATTAGTCCATCGATCGATCGCTAAAATCGTAATCGTCCCCCTATGAGTGTTTTTAGAGACTGGAAAGGAGCGCGCTGCTCGACCGAGAAAGGATTCGCGGACCTGGGCGGCGGGTATCGTACGTTTTCTTGGAAAATGTTAATCTCCGGCGTGATTCATTTAGTTCTTTCGGGTTATCAGTCGTTGCTACGCGAAAGTACTCCGAGGATCGGGAACGATACCGCCAGTTTTTTTTTTTTTTTTTTCTTTTTTTTCATTTACGGTAGATTATTCGTCGCGTAACAGTGAAACGTTAGTGCAAAATTGTGACGCGTTATTACACGCGATCGCAAGTAAAACGTATCCGAATAATAGTCGACGGAGGTTAGGAACGCTGTAAATCACACGATCCATGCCGTTGCTCCAGTTGCGAGGTAATAAAGTAGAGAGAAAAAAAGGGTTTCGTTCTTTCTCGCGTAAGAGAATTTTAATAACGCACGATTCTCGGCGTTGTTAACGCGAACATATGCTAGCAACGCGCCGTGTTTACAAGGTATAAAATACAGTTCGCGTTAGAAGAAGAACGACCCGAGAAAAGGAGGGCAGAGGAGGAATGAGTTGAAAATGAAAAGAAAATTGATTCCCTCGCTCGACTCCGTTGCTCGAGTTCAATTACATATTTATATCCTTCTGGTTAGCTCGGAGTGGTAGTCGAGTAGCGAGGCGTGCAAAGTTCGACTTGCCCGTAACAATGAAATATATTACGGCTACAGCTGTTTGCGATAAAATGCTGTACAACAGACTTCGAAGGCTACATCTATTCGACGAATTCGTGACGCGAGCATACGCACCGCGATGCGCAATTTTCGGGAGGTACGTTTATTAAAATACGCTCGGTGTATGGAAAAACGAGCGCGGGATTGAAAACCATCGCTAAGTTTTTTGCAAAATTACTCCCGGGGAGAAAGTCTACGAGTTACCTCGTGGCTGGTATTATAACGGCGGTTGGTAAATATTTGTGAGTAGCCGCTCTAAAAGAAAAATACGTTATAAAACATTTCGATTGCGTTCGCATTACGTTTAGGTTACGTTTCGATTATTAATTTATCGAGCGACGATAGGGGGTCCAGAGAATGTGTCTCGCGATGCGCGCGACTAAATATCGCGAATCGGATGTCGCCTAACCGATCGAATAGGCGGCGAAAGAAGCGCCAGGTATTTCGTTACGTCACTTTATCGCACTCGAGCATGTAATTAGAGATGAATGCGAAGACCAGCAATGTCGATCCTCGGGTTACAACGCTCTGCGATCCGTCGAATAACTTGCCGCTTATATTATTTTACAATGCAAGTCTTTCTTGTATTATATTACTATAGTTTTTTATTCCGTAAAAGTATACAACACGTACGGTCACTCAATTATTCATACATTTCATATCTATCGAAGAAATTTGTTTAAATCAACAGGTCTGATGTTCCCAAATAAATATTTCGTTATAAATATGCACGTGAATATAC